TAAAAAAATTTTTTTAAAGTAGGGGCACCTGGGAGGCTCAGTCGGTTAAGCGTCTGACTTTAGCTGAGGTCATGATTATGGTTCACGAGTTTGAATCCCAAATCAGGCTCTGTGCTGACAGCTCAGAGCAGGGAGCCTACTTCAGATTCTGTATCTCCCTCTCTCTCTGCCCCTTCCCCGCTCACACTCTTGTCTCTGTCTCAAAACTAAATATTAAAAATTAAAAAATTTTCTAAAGTAAAGAAAAATGGAAATATAAAATAGGATTTATTCACAAAATATATGTGGATGAAGAAACCTGGGCTCTTAGATTGGTATTCCAACTTAATGGTCCGAGGCATGGGAGTCCGTCTTTTTAGCAGGTGTCCCAGGTGACTTTAATGTAGTAGGTTGTTAGTAGACACTGGTGCTTTAGAGGGGAGATGCAGATTATTTGACTGGCCTGATTTACTGTTTATGTGTCCTGTCTGGATCCTGATGTCAGTAGCATTTGTGGTCCATGAAAAGAACCTATTTACTTAAAGTTGATCCATCCATCTAGTGGTTTTTCTTGGAAAAACATTTTTAAATCATTTTCTCAAACAAATTTAAGAAATGGAAATGTTTGGGAAGGAAAAAAAAGAAGGCTTAATCTCTACTCACCCTTTAGCCAATCTTGTTAACTACTGAGGTTTCTTCTGTGTTCTGGGACAAAAAGTTTCAGGGGTGAGTGAGGGGAGCAAATGTGAATTTAAGACTTTAAAAAAGTAGAATAGTAAAATAATAGTAAAATAAACCACCCAGCTCACATGAAAATATTTCTGTTCATGATTAATCATGGTGGGGGCTCCTGGCCACCTGGGCTGCCTTAACAGTTTTTGAGGAAAGAGATGCAGGAAAAAGTAGTAACTGTGGAGATGGTGGTGCTGTGGATACACCATAAGAATTTTGAGATGTGGTTTCAAACTGGAGCTGCTAAGTTCGGTGGTAAACCATGTTCCATTACTTTTGAGTTTCTGAGACTTGGTCCCACTGTTACATGGCCCAGCGGTACTTTGGACTAGATTATATTATTACATTTTCTGCTTTAAAGCATACCCATTATGAACAATGGAGGGTTTTCTCCCTTCGCTGAGGATGTGGAGTTGGGCATTTATTTGCATTGTACCATTTGAATCTTTTTCTTTTGGTATTTGCAAACTAGTAAATGAGCTTTTTTAAAATGCCTGGTGTCAAAGGGTTTTAATTCAGTTGAAGGTAATGAGCCTGCAGGAATTGAAACATGTATTTGTTAGGCCACAAAAGAAATCAGAAGCTGTAGAAAAGCTTTGTATCTTAAAACACCTAGGTATTCAGATTACTACGTTAGTTTGGAATTTAAACTAATTTCCTAATACTTGGGAGGAAAGACCACAAAAAGTTTGGAAGGCTAGTCTATTTAAAAGAGACTATAATCCAGTGCCTTGCCAGGTTCTTGATAGGTTCATGGATCAAAGAAGAGAACATCTAGAAAGGATGTTACTAGGATGATGATTTCTTGAGCCTGTTAATACTATTTTGATTATATAGAAGAGTGTCTTAGATCTGTAAATACTTGCTGAAATAGTTGGTGTTTTACATCATGTAGAAAAGTCGTATGTACGTACATATTTGCTGTGTTTCATATACATAAGCATTTATTGAAAATAGGTGAAGACTGTTTATTGTATGTTTTAATTTTTTAGTCTTGAAAGATTTCAAAATTAAACATTGGTGGGAAGTTTGGGAAGCAGTTGAGAAGAATTGATGCTTCATCAAATGTATAATCTTCTAAATGTCAGACCATTGGATAGAACACAGGGTGAGATATGGCAAGAGTTCATTCATTCGTGGAGTGCTTAAGTGCTTCATGTTCATTATATCATTTAATCCTTAAAAAAAAAACTTCAAGTTGTAGGAAACTGAGACAGAGAGGTTAAATAACCTATTAATTAGTAGAGAAAGCCTTTATTTGAAGGCAGACATTTTGGCTCCAGAGCTTAGACTCTTAATCATAAAACTAGTGTCATGGTAGTTGCAGCCAAACTGTGTAGGGCTCTAAATTCTAGGCTAAAAAATTTAGACTTTACACTTTATTATTTTACTTTTAAGAGTGTAATCCTAGATGTTTAGGACATCACCTGGGAGCTTGTTAGGAATACAGAAACTTGGGTCTAATCCAGGCTTACTGCATTTTGACAAAATCTAGAGACTTTTTGTTGCACATTTCTATCTAGTTTGAGAACCACACTCCATGGTACTGTTTGTTTGCATTTCTGATATTGTTGAGTTTAAATGATCTTGAATATTGTTCTTGGCCCCTAAACAACATTGACAGTATTATTTTTTCATTTGGGAAAGGGTTTGGAATTCAACAATAACTTAAACTTTGGTAACCCATTCTTATGGTAAGAGTAGTTTGAAGTTGATGAAATGGTAAGCATCTCTTCTGTAAATGAGTATTGTCTGTTGAGGTTGAGGTGTATTAAGTGTATTAAAAATCAGTACTAGGAGTAGTTCTAACTCCTTATATATTGCAATTATTTTGAAGTTTATGTATCTAGAAGACTACTTTGATAATTTCTTCTAGAGAACTGCATTGTGTTGAGTCTCTTTGGGAAATTTAAAAAATCTGTATTAACTTTCTTAACAGATATTGAAGCACAGATTCGAGAAATTCAAGGCAAGAAGGCAGCTCTTGATGAAGCTCAAGGAGTGGGCCTTGATTCTACAGGTTATTATGACCAGGAAATTTATGGTGGAAGTGACAGCCGATTTGCTGGATACGTAACATCAATTGCTGCAACTGAACTTGAAGATGTGAGTTACCGACTGTACAGGCGTCTAAGTAATTTTTTTAATGTAGAGCAAGAAATCTAAAATAATTTTCTATTTTAATCTTCTCATTTAATCTCATTTAAGATTTGGAGCATTGGGGGATCTTTTTTTTGAAGGATAAAACTATTGAAGGTGTCCTTCCTCTCTAAGATCAGAAACTTCTAGAAGTTATCAGTTCTGAAACTTTATGTTAAAACTAGTTTGTTTATCTAAGCAAAGGACCTGCAAATCATTAACCATTGTAAAATAAATCCCTATTGTGACCTACTGAGCTCTATAGAGTATCAAGTGTGAGTGAACTTTATTGTAGATAGCCATCTGTCCTTGCCACTTTTAACTTCTGACTTGTGCTTGCCTGATACTGTGTGTTTTTCCCCTTCGTGTCTTCATATGAAGGGAATGATGCTAATGGACTTTTTCATTTATTCTGGAGGATGACCACCTACCTTTCATTTTGAAATACATCCCTCAAAATATTTCTATGTATTCCACAAAGCTTATTTTGTCAGACCATGCCAGACATCCATATTTGGTGAAATAGTCATTTTTGTGTGATTTAGTAGCAAATATTTTATGTATATAGATTATCAAACTTGTTTTTATGTAATTCAAGCCACATTTTATTTTATAGTTGGCACTTTTTTTCAGAAAAATTTAATAAAAGTTCCAAAGGTATAATTTCCAGAAGTTAGGCTTCTGTAGAATATAATGTTGGTCTGTTTAAACATACTCTTGGGGAAACAAATACATTTAAAATCAGTTACATTTTATTTGTGTGGTTAAATCATGTTTAAAAAAACAAGGAGGGGCTCCTAGCTGGCTTAAGTAGAGCATGCAGCTCTTGATCTTAGGGTGGTGAGTTTGAGCCTCATGTTGGGTGTAGAGATTACTTAAAAATAAAATCATTAAAAAAAAATCAGGGAAACTGGAGATTTCTAAATAAGTTGTTTGCAGTTTCCAAATCTGAGAAACCAATTTCATTATGCTTTCTGTGAGAAAATAAAATGCTCAGGTTTTTCTAGTCCGTACCTACTTTATTTTAATTAATTTCCACAGAAAGTATTTTAATACTTTTAAAGGAGTAAAAAAACTCTTTAAAATAGGTTTAAGAGATGAAAGAAAATCTAAGTGTTTACAAGTCCGATGAACAAAGGTTTAGACATCACTTCGTCAGTAAGCCTTTTTTTTTTTTTTTTTTAACTTTGAGAGAAAGTGGCTTCTCACACTTGAAAGGAGGAGGGGAAGGGGCAGGGAGAGAGGGAGAACCCCAAGCATGCTCCTCGCTGTCAGTGTATACCCAGATGTAGGGCTTGAAGCTGTGACCCAAACTGAAACCGAGAGTCAGACACTCAACTGATTGAGCCACCCAGGTGCCCCTGTCAGTAAGTCTTTCGGTACCATGTTAAATCTGTACGTTCTTTCTCATTTTTAAGTTCTGACTTTTTTTTTGTGGTTTTTTGGGGAACATTACATTACAGGATGACGATGACTACTCATCATCTACAAGTTTGCTTGGTCAGAAGAAGCCAGGATATCATGCCCCTGTGGCATTGCTTAATGATATACCACAATCAACAGAACAGGTGATCCTTTTCTCTTGTTCTTCCTCCCTCTTTTTTAAAAATTAAAATCAGAGTTTATTCGTAACGAAAACTGAATATCTCAATTCCTATGGAAGCCTACATATTTTAGAAAGCAAGGTGTTAGAATGTATTGTCTTGAGTTGAATTGGGAGAATTGGAAATAATACTTAGTTTATTTTATAAAGGTAATCATTTCATGAAGAATTGAACTATGGAAATGTGGACATGTTTATTGTCTAATTTCCATATGTCTTATTCTTTTGTGTTAATATCCATAAAATATAAGATTTTTATTAATAGGCATTTATTAAACATTTTTACATGTTTTATAATGTTTTGGGCTTGTTTATGATACTTTTTCAGTATTTAATAAAGTGGGTATTAAATGAGACATACCTCTTTTCAGTATGATCCGTTTGCTGAGCACCGACCTCCAAAGATTGCTGACCGGGAAGATGAATACAAAAAGCACAGGCGGACCATGATAATATCCCCAGAGCGTCTTGATCCTTTTGCAGATGGTAATTCTTTCCCACTTTTCTATAAGTTTTCAGGAATTTATTTGTCTTAAGTTGTCTTTAGCCCTTTGATTTTTTTTGGCATGCTTATGAATTTGCTTTTCTTTTTTAAAATCCCCCTTATTATAGATTTGTATAGATTTGGTTGAAGTCACAGATGCCATATTCTTCATCTTTATAATGCAAGTTTTCTTTCCAGGTAGAAGGACAAGAAAATAATGAGCCAATGCCATAGAAACGCAAAGGGTTAAAGGTTTTTCTTTTACTTTTGTTTTGGGTACGCTTTCTATACTTTGAACAAATGTGTTTTTCTGCTCAATATACTTTCAAACTATTGAAAGTTTTCATTCCAAATCCTAGACTTTTAGGCTTGTTACTTTTGAGAAACTGTTTCTCACATTAGAGCTCCCCCTGTATTGCTCTAAATGTAGTTTAGTAAATGCACCTACTTTGCTCTAAGCATACTTAAAGTTAAAAGTATGTATACAAAAAGACTTTGATATTTTTAATAGTTGGAGTCTGTTTTGCTAATTTTAGTGTGCAGGTCAGCACAAGGGGCATAGTGAGCCTGATGGAAGCTTTCCTCAGGTGAGTGAGTTTCAAAAGCAGAATTAGGTGCCTGTTTCTTAGAATTAGATTCTGCTGCAGGTTTACAAATTAGACTTTCAGCCTGCATGAATTAGTAGGGATATTCTTTTTTTACTTGCATAATTGTAATTGATTTAAACATGTATGTCAGAATTCACAGGCCCATACTAACTGTCCTTAATTTCTTTCCTACAGCAGTACTGCTATATGCCAGTCCTGTCTGCATTCTTAAGGGTGCAGTTCAACACATCCTCTCTAGATTATGGTGAAAAAGTATTCCAAAGGAAGTCTTATCAGAGCTAGTGTCAGAAAGAATGACACTATCAATTGGGCATGATCTTCAGCATAGGAAATGTCTTAGAATTTTATTATTTTTTCCTAAATTGTGATGCTATACTACTTGTATAGCAAATTATCACATTTCTAAAACGCAGTGTGCCTCTTTGAATCTTACTGTGTACTGTTTGGGCTTCATTAAGATATTTTGAAGTTTGAAAAACAAATACTGAAACTTTAACCAAGAGACTAACACATCTCTTTGTACACCACTTTTCTTCTGTGTGGAACATAACTGGTAGAAGTAATATATTTCAAGTGATATGTTTCCTGATGTAATTTATACTTTCTAAGAAAATAAAAATGTTTTGGAGTCAACAAAACTTAAAAAGAATGAAGCCCTTTTTAGTAACATGGGATCAGTATCAGATTACAGGTGTATTTTTAAAAGTCAGATTTTCTAAACGATAACTATTTTAGAACAGTGTATGGAGAACTTATCTAGTTATAGTTATTTGTAGTCAGGATTTTAACAGCTTGCAACAGGTAATGTTTTGAATATAAATATCTTTCCAAAGTGTTACTAATGGTAAAGAGATAATTTTCTAGGCTTCTATTCTGCTGCTTGAAGTCAGAACTGCTGATGGAGACAAAGGCACGAAAGTGTACGTATTCCGGATTAGCAACCCAGGAACCCATCACTACTGAAGACTCTAAACTGTGCTGTCATTTTGTTTTTATATGCATTAAAATATTTGTTTTAAACTGCCGTAGATATGTTTGTGTTCAAACAGGTTAAATTGATCAGCAAACTCAATAAAAAGTAAGATGTATAATTATTAAAGTTTTCCATCAAAATATAAATTAAATGATTATGGAATAACATAATATTAGAGCAGGGAAGATAAATCATTTGAACCTAATTATCTTTTATTTATTGTACTCTTGTCCTGTTGCTGTTCTTTTCTGCAGGAGGGAAGACCCCTGATCCTAAAATGAATGCTAGGACTTACATGGATGTAATGCGAGAACAGCATTTAACCAAAGAAGAGGTATGTGGTTTTTATTTCAGTGGTTGTGAAATAATGTAAAGAAAGTTCAGATTAATACTCCTCTATGTTTCTTTTTTATTTGCTACACAAGTAATATTTTAATACTATTAAGAAAAATCAAATTGAGAAGGAAACCTTACCCAAAATTCTGCCTCCTCCCAAATTAAACTCTTCATATTTCTGTATCCTTTTCTAGCCCTTGGCCTTTAGGCTGTATGTGTACATATGTATGTATATATACACATACAAAGAGACATGTCATATGGTGGATATATTTGTAGGAAGGATTGATGGTGTGTGTCCAAAATAGATGTGTAAAGGCAAAGTCAGATAGTTAAATCATTCCTTGAAAAGCCTCTTCAATTCCCCCATAAGATTCAGTTTGGATATGGGTAAATTCTGAAGGATTCCTACTGGCCTACAGTGATTGCTCCATTTTGTTTTAATAATTAACGATTATATAATTTGTTATGTGGATTAAGTGGGTAAAAGTAAAATTTTAACTTTACTTTAAAATCATAGGTAAGTTAAATGCGTTTGTTATGACTACGTTGTATATAATATTTACATATAGTTGGGTTTTTTTTATGTTTATTTTGAGAGAGAGAGCATGAGTGTGAGCAGAAGAGGGGCAGAGAGAGAACCCCAAGTAGGCTCCTCGCTGTGAGCAGAGAGCCCAACGCAGGGCTTGATCTCATGAACCAAGAGATCATGACCTGAGCTGAAATCAGCAGTCAGATGTTTAACTGAGCCATCCAGGCACCCTTTGCATAGTTAGAATTTTTAAGTTTTACTTTTTGGCACTTTTCTATCTTACTGCATGATCTTAATTGCTATTTATGTGAGTTTTAAATAAAACTTAAATAAGACACTATCGTTCAATGAAAGCATTTTGGGGGCACCTAGATGGCTCAGTTAAGCATCCAAGTCTTAGTTTCGCCTCAGGTCATGATCTCACAGTTGATGGGTTCAAGCCCTGTGTCAGGCTCTGCACCATCGGTTCTTTCTGCCCCTCTCCTGCTCCCTTGCTCGCTCACTCTGTCTCTCAATAAATAAATAAACATTTTAAAAAAGAATTTTGGTTCTCCGCTATGGAAGATTTTACTTAATTGTATTTAAAGTAAGTTGCTCTGTGTTATAAATTCTGTACTTAACCTGTTGTGCCGAAAGACATTGTATTAGACTAGAAATACAGAAAAGGAGAAATAAAGAATGGGACTACCAGTAGCAGCATAGAACAGAGAATGAAGAAGAAAATGACATTAGGTGGAAATAACCGTGCTAATTAGAATATGTTGAAAATATTTTAGAGATACTCAATGCTTATTCAAATATTTTTAGAGAGAAATTAGGCAACAACTAGCAGAAAAAGCTAAAGCTGGAGAACTAAAAGTTGTCAATGGAGCGGCAGCGTCCCAGCCTCCCTCAAAACGAAAACGGCGTTGGGATCAAACGGCTGACCAGACTCCTGGTGCCACTCCCAAAAAGCTATCAAGTTGGGATCAAGCAGAGGTAATTTATTTTTATTTTTTATGATTGTTATTATTTTTAATTTTTCCCTCTCACAAGGAATGTTTTAGTCTCTTGGTGACATAACAAGGTAACACAGACTGAGTGGCTTACACGGTAGTCATCTGTTTTCTCACAGTTCTGGAGGCTTGAAGTCAACATCAGGGTGCCAACAGGGTTGATGTCTGGTGAGAGTTCTCTTTTTGGCTTGCCAATGAGGTTGCCTTTTTGCTGTTTCCTCACATGGCCTTTTCTCTGTGTGCACGTGGAGAGAGCAAGGTGTCTCCTCTGGTGTCTCCTCTAACGACACTGGTTCTTTCAGGTTAGGGTGCTAACCTTATGACCTTATTTAACCTAATTATCTCACTAAAGGCCCAATCTCTATATACACATAGGTGATTAGGGCTTCAACATAAGTTTTTAGGGGAAGACACAGTTCAGTCCATAACCTGGAATAAAGGAATGTCCCTTTTGGAATACTAAAATAGGTATTTCTGTACGTTATATTGTGGAGGTTAAGTACAATACAGTAATCTTATTTTCTAGGTGGATAAGCATCTGACCACAGGTGTCAACATGGGCAGTGCTACTGCATTTTCTTGGTTAGTTTATTTTCCTAGAGAACCTATTTGGGGGTTGTTTTTGCCTTTTTTTTTTTTTTTAAATTAAAAAAATTTTTGAAGGTTTAGTTTTGAAGGAGAGAAGAGTAGGGAAGGGGTAGAGAGGGAGGGAGACACAGCATCTGAAGCAGGTTCCAGGCTCTGAACTGTCAGCCCAGAGCCTGACATGCGGCTCAAACTCAGAAGCTGTGAGTTATGACCTGAGCCGAAGTTAGGTATTCAACCAAGGGAATCCTCAGAAATTTTTTAATGTTATTTATTTTTGAGAAAGAGTGAACACAAGTGGGGGAGGGGCAAAAAGAGGGGGGAGGAAGAGGATCCAAAACCAGCTCTGTGCTGATAGCATTTGACCCCATGTGAGACTCGAAGTCATGAGCTGTGAGACACTCAATTGACTCAGCAACCCAAGCACCTTTGTTTTAAAATGTTTAAAAACTTAAACATGTTCCCACTGTGAAATCTACCAGTATGCCTGTATCTGGTTTCATCTACTCTGTTCTTTCTGTAATGAGTTGTTGATGCCGGTTGAACAATTTCTGCTTATATACTATTTCTCATGCCCTCTTATACTCAGAGACTTTGTGTAACATCAGTTTTTTCTCTAGGTTATTATCAGTGAACACATTTTACTTGCTTTCCTTTAAAAAAAAAAAAAAAAACTGTAGGAAACCATCCCTTAACCTTCACGTGCCCTTCCAGCCACCATCCCATTTCTGTCTCTTCACTGCAAAATGCTTTCGATGAGTTGTCTATACTTGCACTCTTTGCTTATCTGGTCTTTTGTTGAAACCACTCCACCAAAACATCTCTCGTCAAGATCATTTGACCTACTTTTTTAAAATCCAAAGATCAAGCTTCAATCCTCATATCTAGTATATGTCGTCATATCATCTCATATATCGTATCATGTCAGTGGCATTTTGCTATCACTTAATTCCGTTTTCTTAGATTCTGAATTTGAGTTTCTCTTGATTCTCCTAATAACTTTCTTCACTGATTCCTGTCTTGTTTGTGAGATCTTCCTCAGCGTCTTTTACCTTTGGGGTATTCTTGTGCTCAGTCCTTGGACCTTTTTTCCGTCTAAATGCACTCTTCTCATTCCTGTCTTCATATACCATCTCTGTGAAACTACTCCCAGATTTACAAATCTACCCCATACATGTCCTCTGTTCCTTGGACTTAACACTTTTATTTGGATATTTAATAGGCATTTAATTTTTTATTTATTTCAGAGAGCACAAATAGGGGGAGGAGCAGAGAGAGAGAGAAAGAATCTTAACCATGCTTCATGCTCAGTGCAGAGCCCAACATAAGGCTTGATTCCATGACCCTGGGATCGTGACCTGAGCTTAAATCAAGAGTTGGACACCCAACCGACTGAGCCACCCAAGTGCCCCAAGACTGCGGGAATTATTATGGATAATAGAATGAATTTACTTCCAGGGCGCCTGGGTGGCTCAGTCACTTAAGTATCAGACTCTTGATTTCAGCTCAGGTTATGATCTCATTATTAATGAGGTTGTGCCCCGTGTCTGGTTCTGTGCTGACAGCACGGAGCCTGCTTGGGATTCCCTTTCCCTCTCTCTCAGCTTGTTTATGCATGTGTACATGCTTTCTCTCTTTCAAAATAAATAAATATTTGAAGAAAAAGTTTACATCTTACCTGACTCAGCAGGAGGAGCAGTTGCCAAAATGAGATTTTGAACAATTTATGTTCTTCATTCACCTAATTGAAAATTTCTCAACCCTGAGTGATAAATAAAATCTTTTTAAAAGAAAAAAAAAAAGTCTTAAGTTTGTTACGGTGTTTATGCAGATTTGCAGGTGTAAAGCTGGATAGAATTCTTGTGTTGGATAGAAAGCATCCAACTTTAAAATAAATACATAAAGGTATATTTCAAAACCTATATGGAATACTTGAGTCTTAAATCAAATTTTGTTTGGCTGACACTGAACCACCTGATAGTTTGATACTATACTGTCTCCACTGTTCAGGTTCTTTTACCATGGGCTGTCTGATGCCCTGCATCACCCACCATTTGTCTCTGTTGAAACTGTAATGGAACGTTTGATTACTTCACTCCACTTCTAATCTTTTTTTCACTAATCTTGTCAGCTTCGGTTAGAGTTATACTACAAATGTGATTGCAAATCTCAGGGATTGAAATCATGTGTCAGTATCTAGTTAGAATGACCCAGGTGATCCAAAACATACTTATATTAAAAACACACACAGAATTGAACACAAACACAAGAATAGTATTTCTTAGTGAGAATTCCTAGGTATGTGTCTCTAAGCCCAGTTTGGGAAGTAGCGATGGTATCATTAAAGCTGAAATTTTTTGATTGCATATGCAGACAGAGAAAGCTTAGTGATTTTCGCAAAGCTCTAGAGCTATTCATGGCATATCTAAGGCTCATACCCAAAATACATTTCTTTTAAAGCTAGGGCTTTTTTCAAAACTGCTCAAAATTAAAACCTTACATCATTATCTTTAAATGTTTTTGCTATTAAGTAGGCATCTTTTAAATAGGGTAACGTAATTCTCATTTATACAGAAGACTAAAACATTTACTATTTTTTAATAGAAATTTTCTAGTTATTTTTATGTGAATGTTTCTACGTATGAAATAAAAGGTTTTTTTGCTTTGTTAAGACCCCTGGACATACCCCTTCCTTAAGATGGGATGAGACACCTGGTCGTGCGAAGGGAAGTGAGACTCCTGGAGCAACACCGGGCTCAAAAATATGGGATCCTACACCTAGCCACACACCAGCAGGAGCTGCTACTCCTGGACGTGGCGATACGCCAGGCCATGCAACACCAGGCCACGGAGGTGCAACTTCCAGTGCTCGTAAAAACAGATGGGATGAGACCCCCAAAACAGAAAGAGGTACTTCTAGTGGAGTCGGGGTGTGTGTTTGGATGTAATTCTGATTTGATGAGTGGTATGTTTATAAGAGGGATCTGTTTACATCTCTAGTCCTGGGTCGACAGGTAAATAATCAGCTGCTTTGGGGACAGATAAAGGACTAAGCAGATCATATGCCTAACTCTTTTCCCTTCTTGAAGAGGTTTACGATTTATTTTAGAAAGAATATAGGAGAAAGAAAAGTTCATAGATCATAACTTCGTTTTTATTGTGATAAAATTTACATAACATAAAATTCACCATTTTAACCATTTTAATTCATTGGTGTTAAGTACATTCATTTTTTAAAAATTGATTAATTTTTAACTTAACATCCAAGTTACTTAGCATATAGTGCAATAGTGATTTCAGGAGTAGGTTCCTTAACGCCCCTTTACTCATTTAGCTCATACCCCCTCCCACAAGCTCTCCAGTAATGTTCTCTATATTTAAGAGTCCCTTATGTTTTGTCCCCCTCACCCCATTTTATATTATATTTGCTTCCCTTCCATTATGTTCCTCTGTTCTGTGTCTTAAAATTCTCATATGAGTGAAGCAATATGATACTTGTCTTTCTCTAATTTTGCTTAGCATAATGCCCTCTGGTTCCAGCCATGTACTTGCAAATGGCAAGATTTCAGTCTTTTTATTGCTGAGTAATACTCCTGTGTGTGTGTGTGTGTGTGTGTGTGTGTGTGTGTGTGTACACCACAGCTTCATCCATCGATGGGCATTCAGGCTCTTTCCATATGTTGACAACAGTCGATAGCGCTGCTATAAACATAGGGGTGCATGTGCCCCTTCGAAACAGTATACCTGTATCCCTTAAATATATACCCAGTAGTGCAATTTCTGGGTTGTGAAGTAGTTCTATTTTTAATTTTTTGAGGAACCTCCATACTCTTCCAGAGTGGCTGTACCAGTTTGCATTTCCACGCATTTTGTTAGTTCTTTATGAGATTAGCCATGGAAGGTTAAGACTTACTAAAACATCTGCTGTATTAAAATTTTATAAAGAATTTTTAGTGATATGGGAGAGTGCTTAAACATATAGTAGATGGAAGAAGCAGTATAGAGTTGTATGTGCAGAGTAATCTCAACTGTGGAGAAATGAATAGTGGCTCAAGATGCATAAAGTGGTTGTCTCTGGGTTATGATACTATGCATGGTTAAAAAAATACTTTGTTTTCCTATTCCTCAGTGGTTACTATGTTTTTGTAATCAGTGGGAAAGAAAAAATGAAGGAGAATAAAGGTGAACTAAAAATTAAAACTCTTAAGTGGGTCTCCATTTTAAGAATATCCTGTTTCTGGGGCGCCTGGGTGGCTTAGTCGGTTAAGCGTCCCAACTTTGGCTTAGGTCATGATCTCGCGGTTCGTGGGTTTGAGCCCCACGTTGGGCTCTGTGCTGACTGCTAGCTCAGAGCCTGGAGCCTGTTTCAGAGTCTGTCACTCCCTCTCTCTCTGACCCTCCCCTGCTCACGCTGTCTGTCTCTCTCTCCTAGAAATAAATAAAAAACATTTTAAAAAAATTAAAAAAAAAAAAAAAAAGAATATCCTGTTTTTGAATTTGATCAGTTTCAGTATGTTAGCTCTTTGAGAATAAACTAATTTTTTGACATTGGTTAAAATTTTATAATTTACTTTTTTTCTTTAAAGATACTCCTGGGCATGGAAGTGGATGGGCTGAGACTCCTCGAACAGATCGAGGTGGAGATTCAATTGGTGAAACACCAACTCCTGGAGCCAGTAAAAGAAAGTCACGTTGGGATGAAACACCAGCTAGTCAGATGGGTGGAAGCACTCCTGTTCTGACACCTGGAAAGACACCTATTGGCACACCGGCCATGAACATGGCTACCCCTACTCCAGGTAGAAACTCTGCCATTGGAAATATTTTTTTCCTGGAAATATGATGAATGTTTTCTCTGAGATATTCTGTATGCTGTTAATGCCTATTTTTAGCAAGAATTATCAGATATAAAAAGAAGTCTTGGTTTGAGTTTATAATATAAAGCAATTAGAATTGAGGTTAACTGGCTTATAATCCCAGGGACCTATATAATGGTAAAGACTTAATGCTGTAGATTGTTACGGAAATTTGCTTTTTTCGGTAGGTCACATAATGAGTATGACTCCTGAACAGCTTCAGGCTTGGAGGTGGGAAAGAGAAATTGATGAGAGAAACCGCCCACTTTCTGATGAAGAATTAGATGCCATGTTTCCAGAAGGATATAAGGTAGTAACAGTGGTGTTTAGAATGTGAATTTTCTTTAAATGTTCTTTGAAAAAATTAATTGGTCAGGTTTGCATTGGCTTTGCCCAAATTTACAATTACTAATTCTTTTAGCTGTTTCCAAGTATTTTTTTTTTCAGTTCCAAAAAGTAATAGAGATGAAAAAACTGAATGGTACAAAGCTTTTATAACTTGTAAATTTCCAGGACTTCTAGGACCATACTTTGAGAACTTGCTGTCTTGGAGATATTAAATAGCTTGTTGCTTCAGTTTATCATAGTCCCAGGATTAAGCTCACATTAGATCATGGTTATTTTACTTTGTGCTTCACGAGATTTTGTGTATTTAAATTCATGCATTGCAAATGAACACAAAGAATATTCTGTTTTACAGTATCAGCTTGGAAGCTTATTTTGAATTACAAAATTTTCTAGGTACCTGGTACTCAGGGACCATGTGCTGGTCTAAAGGTAGTCATAGAAGTAGAACTTAGGTTCCAGTGGCCCTTTACAGAGCCTTATATTGCCAGTGCGTATTGCTTTTAAGAGTTTGTATGTGTATGTTTTCCCCTCTTGTTAGGTTTATATTAGGGTGTTTCAAGTGTGCATGAATTTCTCCTCTATACTTGTAGCTACCACATAATCCTGTGGGTACAGACATTTGTATAACTTACTGTTGACTTCTGAGTGTCTTTTCAGTTGCAGTCATTGATTTCCTTAATATCTGTAGGAGAGAAAAATCTTTCTTAGTGAATCTTATGTAAATTTCTTGGTTTAATCAAATGGTGTATTTTATAGGGCTTTGATAAATATTTTGGTTTTCGTTTTTTTGCTTTTAAGAGAGAGAGCATGAGCAGGGGAGTGGCGCAGAGGGAGAGAGAGAGACTCTTAAGCAGGCTTTGTGCAAAGTGGACCAACACGGGGTTCAATCCCATGATGGGATCATGACCTGAGCTGAAATCAAGAGTCAGATGCTCAACCGACTGAGCTACCCAGGCATCCCAGATTTAGTTTTTATGCATTTTGTCAAGCAACTTAAGATTGTTGCTTTTACAGTCCAGAGATTTATGTGATTCTAAATTTTAATTTTATTAATATTAACCCTTTATATGTTACGTGCATTTTGTGAACTTATTTCCACTTAACGATATGTCAGCTCACTAACATGTTCATATAGATTAATGTTGGAGAGTGATCAGAATTTTATAAACCTGCTTCATGTATCTCCTCATTTCCCCACATTACTAATATTCTTAGATGTGTTTTTTTTTTTTTTTTTTTTTTAATTTTATTTATTTCTAGGAGACAGAGACAGCGTGAGCAGGGGAGGGTCAGAGAGAGAGGGAGTGACAGACTCTGAAACAGGCTCCAGGCTCTGAGCTGGCAGTCAGCACAGAGCCCCATGTGGGGCTCGAACCCACGAACCGCGAGATCATGACCTAAGCGAAAGTCGGACGCTTAACCGACTAAGCCACCCAGGCGCCCCCTTAGATGTGTGTTTTAATCACCAAATGAGAAATGTTTGTTGTACAGATTAAAAAAAATTTTTTTTTAATGTTTATTCCTTTTGAGAGAGAGAATGTGCAGGAGAGGGGCAAAGAGAGGGAGACACAGACTCTGAAGCAGGTTCCAGGCTCTGAACTATCAGCACAGAGCCTGACGCGGGGCTCGACGCCCTGAACTATGAGATCATAACCTAAGCTGAAGTTGGAGGCTTAACTGACTGAGCCACCCAGGTGCCCCTCTCTTACAGATTTTAAATGATAGAACAAGCAGAAAGCTTCTTAGCTAATAAACTGTTGAGGTATTTTAAGTGCAGATTATTATGTTATTTTATAAAGTGAAGAAAATCCTGAACTGTCTTTTAATGTATTAGGTACTTCCCCCTCCAGCTGGTTATGTTCCTATTCGAACTCCAGCTCGAAAGCTGACAGCAACTCCAACGCCTTTGGGCGGTATGACTGGTTTCCACATGCAAACTGAAGATAGAACAATGAAAAGTGTTAATGACCAACCATCTGGAAATCTACCATTTTTAAAACCTGATGATATTCAGTACTTTGATAAACTTTTGGTAAGTGATAGTAGCAGAACTGAAGTATCACTTTCTATTTAGGAGTTAAAATTGCAGTATCTTAATCAAACTACATTTTCTTTTTACTGTTAGGTTGATGTTGATGAATCAACACTTAGTCCAGAAGAGCAAAAAGAGAGAAAAATAATGAAGCTGCTTTTAAAAATTAAGAATGGAACACCTCCAATGAGAAAGGTCAGTACCAGTTCGTTACATCATCATGTTCACTATAATTTTATGTTCAGAAATGTATAATCTTTACATCTTTACCAAGGGCATAGTGTAAGAGAAACAAAGGTGTAATATGAAGGATTTAGCTTTTTTAACCAAATAGTTTTATGCTAATAAGGATGTTGAAAAATGAGATTCTCCTTTTTGTTCTCAGGGCCTTCTTATAAATTTTTTTTAAGTTTATTTATTTTGAGAGATACTCAGATCTGTGAGAGCACTAGCCAGGGAGGGGCAGAGAGAAAGGGGGAGAGAGAATCTCAAGCAGGCTTCATCTTAGAAACTGTGAGATCATGACCTGACTCGAAATCAAGAGTCAGGTGCTTAAGTGACTGAGCCACTCAGACACCTCTCTAACTTCAGAGTCATTAGATGGGAATGCACTTATGCTACTATGTGTGAGATGTCTGTGAAGTTCACACTAAAAATGTTAAGTTAAAGAAAATCATGGAGGGGCGCCTGTGTGGCTCAGTTGGTTAAGTGTCCAGTTTCGGCCGAGGTCATGATTTCTCCATTCCTGAGTTTGAGCCCCGCGTTAGGCTCTGTGCTGACAGCTCAGAGCCTGGAACCTGTTTCGTATTCTGTGTCTCCCTCTCTCTCTCTGCCCTTCTCCTGCTCACACTCTGTTTCTCTGAAAACTAAACATTTAAAAAAAAATTAAAAAAAAAATCATGTAATTAGTAATTAGTTTGTTTAGAATGCTTAATTATAAGGGAACACACCATTTTACTCTTTTTTTCCCCAGGCCGCATTGCGTCAGATTACTGACAAAGCTCGTGAATTTGGAGCTGGTCCTTTGTTTAATCAGATTCTTCCTCTACTGATGTCTCCCACACTTGAGGATCAAGAGCGTCATTTACTTGTGAAAGTTATTGATCGAATATTATACAAACTTGATGACTTAGTTCGACCATATGTGCACAAGGTTTGTTCTCAAGTCCAAACCATTGTTTCTAATGGTTGGATATTTTTTAATATAAAAACAATTAATGAATTTCTTAAGCCATTTATTATTTGTGGAATTTAAAAAATTCTTAAAAAGTGATGCTGGCGAGGATGTGGAGAAACGGGCACCCTCCTACACTGTTGGTGGGAATGTAAACTGGTACAGCCCCTCTGGAAGACAGTGTGGAGGTTCCTCAAAAAACTAACAATAGAACTCCCCTATGACCCAGCAATAGCACTGCTAGGAATTTACCCAAGGGATACAGAAATGCTGAGGCATAGGAGCACATGTGCCCCAATGTTCATAGCAGCACTCTCCACAATAGCTAAAACATGGAAAGAGCCTAAGTGTCCATCAACAGATGAATGGATCAAGAAGATGTGGTTTATCTATACCATGGAATACTACATGGCAATGAGAAACAATGAAATCTGGCCATGTGTAGCAGCGTGGATGGACCTTGAGGGTGTTATGCTGAGCGAAATAAGTCAGGCAGAGAAGGACAAATACCATATGTTTGCACGTATAGGAGGATTAGGAGGAACTTGACGGAGGAACAAGGGGGAGAAGAAGGGTGGAAATGGTGGGGGAAAGGGAGAGAGGCAAACCATGAGAGACTCTTGAATGCTGACAAAAACTGAGGACTGATGGAGGGGGGGGGGGGGAGGGATGGGCATGGAGGAGGGCACTTGTGGGGATGAGCACTGAGTGTTATGTGGAAACTAATTTGACAATAAACTATTTGTAAAAAAAAAAGTAAAAATGAAAAATAAATAAGTAAATAATTAAAAATTTCTTAAAAAGTAATAGCAGATGTATGTATTCACAACAAAAAAGGGAAATTTCACTCCCCTGTAAGACACGCCAGAATTTACCAATATTACATTAATAGGTCCTCTTGGACCATCACACATACATAAATGTGTGTGTGCATATATTGAAGGAACTTTTTTTCATCTTTACTAAAATGGTTTTTATACTATTCATATTTACAGAGTCCCAGTAATAAGTTTTCTAGCAAACTGTGTTTATATGTTTGTGTGTTTAAGTTACATAAATGACCTCTAATAAGAAAATTTTCTCAATATGTATTTAATTTTGTTGCAGGAGTATGGTATTAGTAATTGGTGTGAAAGCGTAGCTCTTTTTCTTTTTCAGATCCTTGTGGTCATTGAACCATTGCTGATTGATGAAGATTACTATGCTAGAGTGGAAGGTCGAGAGATTATTTCTAATTTGGCAAAGGTATCTACGTTATATTTCTAGAGAAGAAAGTTTTGTATCCATTGATGGGATTATTGATTATAGAAGTGTTGAAGGTTAATGTTATCAGCTGATAACCCTCCTTTTTTTCTTGACTTTTTAGGCTGCTGGTCTGGCTACTATGATCTCTACCATGAGACCTGATATAGATAACATGGATGAGTATGTTCGTAACACAACAGCTAGAGCTTTTGCTGTTGTAGCCTCTGCCCTAGGCATTCCTTCGTTGTTGCCCTTCTTAAAAGCTGTGTGTAAAAGCAAGAAGTCCTGGCAAGCGAGGCACACTGGTATTAAGATTGTACAGCAAATAGCTATTCTCATGGGCTGTGCCATCTTGCCTCATCTCAGAAGTTTAGTTGAAATCATTGAGCATGGTAAGTTGTGATATAACTTCATCTTTTTAAAAATTATTTTTATTAAAGTTTTTTTTAATGTTTGTGTTTGAGAGAGAGAGACTAAGTTTGAGCAGGAGAGAGGCAGAGAGACAGAGACAGAATCTGAAGCAGGCTCCAGGCTCCGAGCTGCCAGCACAGAGCCCAACACAGGGCTTGAACTCAGGAGGAGTGAGATCATAACCTGAACCAAAATTGAACACTTAACCAACTGAGCCGCCCCATAACTTCATGTTTTATAAGATAGGTGTCCTGAAATTTGGGGTACTAATTTAGATAAATGGAAGGGCTCTACCTACAAAACTCCATATAATTTGTGATGGGATTTATAACATCATTTGCTAATAGGCTGTGGTTCATATTGGCTTTTGCGTAATTTTGTCTAATATGAACAGATTCTGTATTTTGACTAAATGATGAGGTTGTGAAAATTAACTAAGTGTTGTCACTTAGTTACAACCTGTGTTTGGTTTTCTAGGTCTTGTGGATGAGCAACAGAAAGTTCGGACCATTAGTGCTTTGGCCATTGCTGCCTTGGCTGAAGCAGCAACTCCTTATGGTATTGAATCTTTTGATTCTGTGTTAAAGCCTCTATGGAAGGGTATCCGTCAACATAGAGGAAAGGTAGGTTTGGTTCACCAGATAGATTTTATTTTTCTTTGCATTTCCACTCATTGAAGTTAAGGCAACTAAAATCTAATTTACTAAGTATACACATCTTTTATTTTAAAATAGGGTCTGGCAGCTTTCTTAAAGGCTATTGGGTATCTTATTCCTCTTATGGATGCAGAATATGCCAACTATTATACTAGAGAAGTGATGTTAATCCTTATTCGAGAATTTCAGTCACCTGATGAAGAAATGAAAAAAATTGTTCTGAAGGTAATTATTCCAAATTGTTGTCCCAATTGGTTCATCTAAATTGGGTGTGTTTCATGGTTCAAAGAGAATGTTAAAGCCCAAAACTATTTAACTATTGTTAAACCAAAACTGTCTGTACTGTTATTTTTTAAACTTTTAGGTGGTAAAGCAGTGTTGTGGAACAGATGGTGTAGAAGCAAACTACATTAAAACAGAGATTCTTCCTCCTTTTTTTAAACACTTCTGGCAACACAGAATGGCTTTGGATAGAAGAAATTACCGACAGGTAAACTTATTGTAAAAAAATACTTTATCTTTTTTTGTTTTTTGTTGTTTTTTTTTTTTGAGAGAGAGAGCACAAGTGGGAGGGGGCAGAGGAATAGGGAGAGAGAATCTTAAGCAGGCTCCACACCAGTGCAGAGCCCACTGTGGGGCTCAAGGGGCTCCATCTCAGGAGCGTGAGATCATGACCTGAGCCAAAATGTAGAGTCTGGATACTTAATGGAGCCACTCACGCACCCCATAAAAAATATTTTCAAGGGGTGCCTGGCTGCTCAGTTTGAAGAGCATGTGACTCTTGATCTCAAGGTCGTAAGTTCAAGATCATGGTCATGGAAGCTACTTAAAAAAATATTTTCAAATATCTTTTCAACTAATCCTTTGGTCATTTTGAGTGAATATAACACTTTGTTTTTTGTCCTGGTCTCAAAATACATGCTTGATTGTAAAAGGAGGTGTATTTTAGTCAGCTAATTAATTTCCATTTTGATTTTGCATCCTAGGATAAATACTCAGTTATGAATTAATGTCTTTGTCTAGTTAAAATAAGTTCTTAATCTGGGCTAGGTGAAACATGACTACAATCTTACCTTAAAACATTTTGACTTATGTTTTTTGGGTTACCTTTCTGTTAAAAGTTATTAAAAGAGGAATTAACTGTTCTCATCCAGTTGCTGTCCTGAATATATCTTAAGGGTTTCTTTCCTCCTGTCTTTAGTTAGTTGATACTACCGTGGAGTTGGCAAACAAAGTAGGTGCAGCCGAAATTATATCCAGGATTGTGGATGATCTGAAAGATGAAGCTGAACAGTACAGAAAAATGGTGATGGAGACAATTGAGAAAATTATGGGCAACTTGGGGGCAGCAGATATTGATCATAAACTTGAAGAACAGCTGATTGATGGTATTCTTTATGCTTTCCAAGAACAGACTACAGAGGTAATGATACAGATTATTACAACAAATTGCTGCTGACGGTCATATTTGTAAAACATGCTACTTTTCAAGCAAATAGTCATCACTAATAAGTAGCTGAATTTGAAATTTTAAAAATGCTCATATTTTCCTTTCAGTTGTCTATAATTGAAATTTTTTAGCTTTAAATTTTTTATATTTGATTTTTGTTAAAAAAAGTTAACATTAGAATATTTAAGTTTTGTCTTAATGTTTTATTTTTTTGAGAAAGAATGAGCAGGGAAGGGCCATAGAGGGAGACATAGAGTCTGAAGCAGGCTCCAGGCTCTGAGCTGTCAGCACAGAGTTCAACACGGAGCCTTATCCCACACACCATGAGATCATCACCTGAACTGAAATCACTTAACCAAATGAGCCACTCAGGCATCTCTGAATATTAGTATATTTAAACTATTCAGTCACACACTGAATTCTAGTTTCTAATAAATGTAGTTTTTAAATTTAACGTAGCTTTTCTGTTTTAGGACTCCGTAATGTTGAATGGCTTTGGCACAGTGGTCAATGCTCTTGGCAAACGAGTCAAACCGTACTTGCCTCAGATCTGTGGTACAGTTTTGTGGCGTTTAAATAACAAATCAGCAAAAGTTAGGCAACAGGCAGCTGACTTGATTTCTCGAACTGCTGTTGTCATGAAGACTTGTCAAGAGGTAAACTTTTCTATCAGATTCTTAATTTTCTCACCAAATAGTTTCATGTGAATGTTTACATTTTAACTTTTTTTTTTTTTTTTTTTTTATATACAGGAAAAATTGATGGGGCACTTGGGTGTTGTTCTGTATGAGTATTTGGGTGAAGAGTACCCTGAAGTATTGGGAAGCATTCTTGGAGCACTGAAGGCCATTGTAAATGTAATAGGTATGGAATTTGCTGGTCATGAAAGAATTTTTTAGTTTTGCTTTTTTAACTTTTTTTTTTAATTAATACATAGAATCGTATTTAGGAATTGAGTAATGATTTATGATACATTGTTTTTTTAAGCACTTCAAAATTAGACTTAACTCAGTATGTCACAAAAGTCATGTTTCCTAAAACTCAAATTTATTGCACTTTAAAAGGAAAGAGCAAGTTGAAGACCTGTAAAGAGAGATGGGAGTAGTTACCAACGCAAAAAACTTTGAAGTCATAGAATAGAGAATCCTAATAAAAACAGTGTCTCACCTGAATGTATTTGAGGGGTGTGAGAAAGCAGTGTTGAAGTTTTAATTGTAGGACAAAATATTGTAGATTTCTTTAACCTTGAATTAGTAAGTGATCCTGGCAGGTTTTTCTGTTTGCTGTCATGTTTCAGGAACATAACCAGGAAGAAAAGTGAGTGAGTTTTTCAAATATTTTCATTTTTTATTTATATCCAGTTCTTCATCCACTCAGTCTTCTAACTCAGAGCAAAAATACAAGTATATTACAAATGCCCCCTTGGGTTTGGAGAGCAAAGCTTTCATTATTTAAGGATATAATGATGTAGCAAACAAATGGTCTCTTCTGTTTAATCTTTTATCGTAGTTGAACGTGACTTCTGCAAAAGTAATTTATGGTTAAGAGGAGCCAAAATAACCTAGCAGGAGGTCAAAATAGCTGACTGTGGTAGCCAACATTTTTCTCATTTTAGTAAGGGGTTTTTATGCAGTATAGGAGATCTTTGAACCATTGCATTGACATGTAATCCCCAATTAATCCTGTTTTCTATACTTGAAGATAGCTACTTGCCAAAAAATCAGTTACGTGGCCACTTATGGGGCTCTGGTTTGCAGGGAGTTGTAAACCATATTGTTGGTCAGGGAAACATGGGAAAAGCAATGGAGAGAGAATCAGAACAAGCAGTTCTAGTTAGAGCAAGAGCCCCTGCCAGCTGCCTCCTTTTTTCTCTCTTCATAGGTGTAAATACCATCCAAGTATGCCCTGCATTGCAGGGAGACTGGAGATCTGTTTGTTTTGCAGTTAAAGGGTAAGGGGGCCCTTTCTGGAAAATTTTGCTTTGATTTACATGTCTACCTCTGGCTTATATTGTTGTGTATGGCCGGAACATAAACTGTCCCCGTATTTAAATATGAGTTTATAAATACATTTCAGAACCAAATAAAACTCTTTTGTTGTTGAGTCTCCATCATTTTTAAAATCACTTCACTATTTTCTTTCATTTCTCTGCATAATCAGAAGTTGTTAATAAAAAGTTAAAAACAATTCTGACCCTGATCAGAATATGGGGCTTTTTTCTTTCTATAGGCAGCTGTAAGTTTATATTTATGCCTAGTCATGTATATTACATTATTAAGTAAAAGGTAAAACGAACAAAAGTTATAGTTCACATGTTTATTGATAGTGTGTTGACTTCTGTTAAATAGGTATGCATAAGATGACCCCACCAATTAAAGATCTCCTGCCTAGACTCACCCCCATCTTAAAGAACAGGCATGAAAAAGTACAAGAGAATTGTATTGATCTTGTTGGACGTATTGCTGACAGGTAAGCAGATTACCTGAACATTTTTATGAACAGTATCGGTTTTTACATTTAACTACCTTTTTCTTCATTTTGCGAATATGCTTAATGTTGCTAGTATAGACATATATGGTTAAGTATCCACTGAAATTTTCTGTGAAATTTCAGTTCTAGATGGTGATGGGAGGAGGCAATATAGTTTTAAGATTAAACCATCCTTTCTGAAGTTATATTTTTATTTACTCCTTAAACTGAGTAGGTAGTCATGTTTTGAGAACTGAATTTGCAAGTTTACCTTCTAAAATTTATTATCATCAAAATTTTTTTCTTTTTAAATTAGGGGAGCTGAATATGTGTCTGCAAGAGAATGGATGAGGATTTGTTTTGAGCTTCTGGAGCTCTTAAAAGCTCACAAAAAAGCTATTCGTAGAGCTACAGTCAACACATTTGGTTACATTGCAAAGGCCATTGGGTGAGTATTACTTATTTACTTTTATGCATGCATTTTTAACTTTGTAATAAACCAACTGTGTTGAAAAATGCTTCTATTTCTGTAGTAATCTCTAGAGGTGTGGTGTGAGAAATGCACTTGAGAAAGCACATTGTTTAACCACTGACCTTCAATTTTTGAGATGTTTTCTTAAATTTCCAATTGAATTAAAATACATGGAGAGTTTTAAAATTTATTTTAATCACACCTCCGGTATTTTCAGAGAGGAAAATAGAACCATCTTTAGAATAATTTCAAATTTTAGTTGGTCCCTTTCAGGTATTATTTAAAATATTAAGGCCAGTTCTTAATAAAACAGCGTAACTCAGGTCTCATGTTAATGCTTTGTATTTTTAAAATATTTTTCCAAAGTGAATCCCCAGACAACTGAAATTATAACTATTAGATGGTTTGTGGTTATTTGCTTCTGTCTCATCAGAACCAAACTAGTAGTAGTCATCATTGTACAAAATGAGATACCATACATACATATGGTTTAATAACAGAAAATATTTTTAAGCAGTAAAACATATAAAAGCCAGATTAGTCTCCTTACCCTGTCTCACTTTTGATAGCAGTAATAGAGTAGTTTATTTCAGCAGTGGTATAGTCCAGACTTTTGCAATGAATAGCTTTTGTGCTTTTTTAGCTTCTGTGTCTAAGTTTGTGGTGAAATAAGTGACTGATGAATAGATGTCACAAAGGTGTGTGGGAGGGAAGGCAAGAAAAGGAAGTAGATTGTGTGTATTGAGGCATGAGGGACCACAGTTCAGATACTGCTGCCTAGCTCTAGTGGCCATGTTTTGACCACTCTAGAATTGTTCAGTCTAAACTTTATATTTTAGGGAGTTCATAATAAAGACTAAAAATTACATTTGAAAATGATTCCATTTGAATTTCTCCAACAGATACTGTAATTTAAATGAAGTTTTTGAGTAGAAACAAGTGCTAGTGCCGAGTGACTTCATTGTATTTTATCATAAAATTACAAAGTTACCAATAATTACTTACCATAAAGTTTTATTCTTTTGCATTTTTTCCCCAAAGTTTGATTTATAATCTAACAGTTTGGTGATACATTTATTTTTTTCAGCCCTCATGATGTATTGGCTACACTCTTAAACAACCTCAAAGTTCAGGAAAGGCAGAACAGAGTTTGTACCACTGTAGCAATAGCTATTGTCGCCGAAACATGTTCACCCTTCACAGTACTACCTGCCTTAATGAATGAATACAGAGTTCCTGAGCTGAATGTTCAAAATGGAGTGTTAAAATCACTTTCCTTCTTGTTTGAATATATTGGTGAGATGGGAAAGGACTACATTTATGCTGTAACACCATTACTTGAAGATGCTTTAATGGATAGGTAAGTGTACCCGAATTAAATGTAAGAAAGTAGTTATAATGCTAGGAATTTACCCAAGGGATACAGAAATGCTGAGGCATAGGAGCACATGTACCCCAATGTTCATAGCAGCACTCTCCACAATAGCTAAAACATGGAAAGAGCCTAAGTGTCCATCAACAGACGAATGGATCAAGAAGATGTGGTTTATCTATACCATGGAATACTACATGGCAATGAGAAACAATGAAATCTGGCCATGTGTAGCAACATGGATGGACCTTGAGGGTGTTATGCTGAGCGAAATAAGTCAGGCAGAGAAGGACAAATACCATATGTTTGCACGTATAGGAGGATTAGGAGGAACTTGACGGAGGACCAAGGGGGAGAAGAAGGGCGGAAATGGTGGGGGAAAGGGAGAGAGGCAAACCATGAGAGACTCTTGAATGCTGACAAAAACTGAGGACTGATGGATGTGGGGGGGAGGGGGGGATGGACATGAAGGAGGGCACTTTGGGGATGAGCACTGAGTGTTATGTAGAAACTAATTTGACAATAAACTATTTGTAAAAAAAAAAAGAAAGTAGTTATAATTCTTCCTTTATTTTAAAACTTACTGAAATAATTATTAAGTGATCTGTTTGTTAATGATGCAGTTAAAGGAGGAGGAATATGAGACTAGATTTCTATGAAAGTGAAGATGACCATTCTCTCTAAATAATATGTATGCTATAGTGGTTCCCCACATTTTCTCTTCTAGGCACTCCCTCCCCTTTTTAGCCCTCCTTTCATATCTTAAGACTAAATACATTTTGAAAAGCAGTAATTGGTAAACTGTTGTTTTAAAAAATAATTGAAGTCATGGGGTGCCTGGGTAGCTCAGTTGGTTGAACATCCGACTCTTGATTTCAGCTCAAGTCATGATCCCAGGGTCATGTGATCAAACCCTGATTTCATGCTTAGCATGGAGTCTGCTTGGGATTCTCTCCCCCTCCCATGTGTGTGCTTTCTCTCTAAAAAAGAGAGAAAGGAAAGAAATTAATTAAAGTCAAATATAGTTAGAGGAAATGATGAGTGTGAGTTTGTTGGTGTGGCATATAGACCTAATCTTTTTAGCTTTATATTAGTGTATGTGAAGCAGAGATTATCATTAGGCTTTGGAACTACTAAACATAAGCTATACTATTCCCATTTCAGGCCCTCAGTTATTCAGACAGTGACCATTGAATATAGTACTGCTCAGTTATTTGACAGTCAGATTCCTGATACCTTTAACCATCTGGACGACACAGAGCTTTAAACACAAAATTAATGTAAAGAAAGGTTCAAGATCCAGGTAGTAAGGGAGGGGTGCCTGGGTGGCTCAGCCATTTGAGCATCTGATTCTTGTTCTTTGGCTCAGGCTATGATCTCCCAGTTCATGAGTTCAAGCCCCATGTCGGGCTCTGTACTGACAGCTTGGGATTCTCTCTCTTCCCCTTTTTATTCCCTCCCCACTCCCTTTCTCTCTCTCTCTCTCTCTCTCTCTCTCTCTCTCTCTCAAAATGAATAAACTTAAAAAAAAAAATCCAAGTAGTAAGGGAAATGACTGTTTTGTTTGGCTCTTTATTTTTCAGGAAAGATAAGGTATCCAAATTAGAAACAATTCAATTAGTTTTGTGTACAGATTAAAGTTACTCATTCATGACTTTGCACAGGGGAGACTTAACAGGATAAACAAGTTCCAGCTAGGTATAAATGCAAGACATTGAGACAGAATAAGAATCAGGCTCTGTTAAAAGCCTGGCCACCTGGGGCCCAGTAAAACAGAAGCAAATTGTTCTGAGTGCAGCCATCAAAGTATGTGACTTGAAGTTAAAATTTATATTCTATGTACTATTTAAAAAAAATTTTTTTTAATGTTTATTTAATTTTGAGAGAGAGCAACAGCACTAGGTGGGGGTAGGGGGTGGGGGAGGGCAGAGAGAGGAGGAGAGACAGAATCCAAAACAGACTCAGGCCGCTTAACTGACTGAGCCACCTAGACGCCCCTCTGTATACTATTTTTTTTTTTAATTTTTTTTTAATGTTTTACTTATTTCTAGGAGAGAGAGAGAGAGACAGCGTGAGCAGGGGAGGGTCAGAGAGAGAGGGAGTGACAGACTCTGAAACAGGCTCCAGGCTCTGAGCTGGCAGTCAGCACAGAGCCCGACGCGGGGCTCAAACCCACGAACCGCGAGATCATGACCTAAGCGAAAGTCNCCCCCCCCCCCCCCCGCTGTATACTATTAAGTTGAGGTATAACTTGTCAAGAACTACTCAATGAAAAGAAACAATACTTTTGGGAAATTTATTAGTAATACTGCTTTACTCTGAAGTCTAATCAAGTAAGTAAGAAATAAAGATGCTAGCAAGTTCAGTGTTTTTTCTTACATCTCTGAGATGTTGTTACCTGTGTGAACTTGTTCTTTATACTCATCACAAACTTACCTGTTGTTTGTCCCAGTTGAGTCACTCTAGAATAAATAACCCAATGATTTGTTGTAAATAAATTCAGTTAACATGGGAAATGATAGAATTCTTACTCTGTAGGTTTGAAAAAACTTGGGGCGCCTGGGTGGCTCAGTCGGTAGGCATCCGACTTTGGCTCAGGTCGTGATCTCACAGTTCGTGGGTTCGAGCCCCGCATCGGTCTCTGTGCTGACTGCCATCTCAGAGCCTGGAGCCTGTTTCAGATTCTGTCTCCCTCTCTCCCTGATCCTCTCCTGCTCACGCTGTTTCTCTCTCTCTCTCTCAGAAATAAATAAAACATTAAAAAAAAAACTAAAAATTTCTCCCCAAATTGCTTTTTTGAGTGAAACTTAAAATTTGCAAGGGAAGAGATTTAATTTTAATTTAGTTATCTCATATAGCAGTATTCACTTACTTTTCAAATCTATTCAAGTGATAGAATTTAAAATGAGGTTACCATTATTCATATCTAAGAGTCATGTATCCCCTCTTTAGTAGCGTACTGAAATGTGCACCACACAGGGCCCTCTTGCTCATATTCCTTTCAAAGGTTAATTGGGAATTAAGGTTTAATTCTGACCCACAGTGCATCATTAAAGTAAAAGATCTCAAGGGGAATCCTGTATCTGATACAGAATACTGTGTATTCAATCATTTTATATCAGGTACATAAAGTATGAGAGGTCTGCATTTGTTCCCTGCACTGAATTTGTAATTTAGTTTCTAATTAGAATAGGCAAGTGTTTCCTGTTAAAACTAAGACTATTTTAACAAAGCATTTTTTTTCACCTTGCTACAGGGACCTTGTACACAGACAGACAGCCAGCGCAGTGGTGCAACACATGTCACTTGGGGTTTATGGATTTGGTTGTGAAGATTCACTGAATCACTTGTTGAACTATGTATGGCCCAATGTGTTTGAGACCTCACCCCATGTAATTCAGGCAGTTATGGGAGCCCTGGAGGGCCTGAGAGTTGCTATTGGACCATGTAGAATGTTACAGTACTGTTTACAGGTAAGGTTAAGATTTTTAAAGGGTTACTCAGTGAAAAAAATAATTTAGTTAACTTAAGTCACTTCTTAATTATCAGTAGGGTAGTTTGTACCATATGGGAAAACAGTTGGGGGTGGGGGTGGAGAAGAGATTAGATTTTGTCTTAGCTTGTTGCGGTTTTGTGCATTTGTCAGGGTTTTTTCTCTTGAAGAGAAATATTTGGAATTCTGTCTTTATGGTTTGTTGGTTAGTTGTGCCAAGGTTATGTATGTTATTGAAAATTGAAATAATATAACCTTCTAATTACTCTAGGGTTTGTTTCACCCGGCCCGGAAAGTCAGAGACGTGTACTGGAAAATTTACAACTCCATCTACATTGGTTCACAGGATGCTCTCATAGCACATTACCCAAGAATCTACAATGATGATAAGAACACCTATATTCGTTACGAACTTGACTATATCTTATAACTTTATTGTTTCTTTTGTGTTTAATGCACAGTTGTTTCACCTGTTAAACTTGCTTCGATTTGGTGATGTAAACTTTTAAACATTGCAGATCAGTGTAGAACTGGTCATAGAGGAAGAGCTAGAAATCCAGTAGCATGATTTTTAAATAATCTGTCTTTGTTTTTGATGTTAAACAGTAAATGCCAGTAGTGACCAAGAACACAGTGATTACACACACTATACTGGAGGGATTTCATTTTTAATTCATCTTTATGAAAACTTAGAGTTCATTCCTTGTGTTTAAAGGGAATGTTTAATTGAGAAATAAACATTTGTGTACAAAATGCTAACTTGTGTGTGTTTTTTGAACATGACTTGTAAAATGCAGAACTTTGATAAAGTTATTGGTTTGTGTAGAGTAAGTGGCTTAATTTTATTTTCTGTTACCTGGTTTATAGAAAGTAGTTAGCAGAATATAAACTATATAAAGTGATGGCATCTTTGTCAAACTCCATTGTTCTGTTGATAATGACATCAAGAAAAGTCGTAGCTTTGGGTGTGTTCACCTCAAATTAGCACAACCGTTCCATCACCATAGAGAATATAGCACCTTTGCTAACCTGTCTTGAATAATACTATTTTGCACTTACATAGCGCCTTTCATCTCTTGATTTCTCAAAATGCTTTATGAACTTGTTAAGGAGAAATGATTCAAGTCCTATTTAACTCTTGAGTCTGTGTTTAGAAAGTGGGGAAGGTATCCTTACTTCGAAACTGCTTTCTACCTACGTATTGCTAATAGAATAAGACAATCTTTGGGCTTTTTCCCATGTCATAAGCCAGTACTCAACAATGTATTCAGTAAATACTTGTTGAATACCTACTGTATACCAGCCACTGTGCTTAGTGTAGGGGATGCAAAGGTGCTTTTGACCTGCCCCTTGCCCTTAAGAAATGCAGTATAGTGGAAAAGGGGAGACACATCTAGTTGCATATTACTTATGTACTGTGATATTACACAATGGCAGCAGCTATGATGTCTAGGGTTTGCTTAAATGGATCTATAGATACCAGGCATAAGTTGGGACACCATTAATTTGAGAGGAACCAAGCATTAAGGTAGTGCCTACCATGTTTTGGCAACTACTTTAAATATGTTTTCAGCTTTTCCTAGAAATTTCCTGAGCAAAAATGTCTTTGTTTTAGTCCTTTGACTACCTGTAGCAGTTTTGCCTCCTTATTTTAATACTTTGGTGAACTCCAGTGGGAAATGAGATTCTGTAGCTGAGTAAGCGTGGGATGGCTCTGTTACTATAAGTAAAACTGTTTCGCTGCGACTAAGAGTTGGTGCCTCTAGCTGTTAACACTTAGCGCTTTCTGTGTTGGAGGCTTACGTGACCATTTGTAATTGGCTGACTCTTACAAAATTAATACTGAGCAGTAAAGGACTCTTCAGGCAGAAGTTGTAACTCCTTATTTTTCCTTGTATAACATTGTGACAACATGTCAGTATGTCCTTAAAACAATTTTCCAGATCCTCTTTTTATTCTTGGAAGTTTTTGTAACAGTAGCCCCCATTGTAACTTTACATTTTGCTATTCCTTGTAGTTAATGCCAAATGACCTTCAGTAATTTCTAATCATGAAAATTGAAGAAAATGGTTTCAAAGCCACAATTTGGTTTTAAACTGGTCTTGGAAAAATTTAGTTAATAGCTTCACTTCAAGTAGTTAGGTAACTTCAGTTTGCTTGGGCCCTTGCTATTTGTGGAAAATGTATCAGCTTTGTAGTGGCAAAATGGAGCAAAGGAGACTGCTTTATATGACGTTTACTGATGCAAATAATTTGGAGACAGGTGAGGGAAATATAGCTATGACCTTAAAGGATGGGACCAAATAGAGGCTCATAGACGTTTGGATAATTTTGTATGCTTATTATTGAATAAGGAAAGCATTTTGTGATATACCCATGTGAAAGACGCTATGTGAAGTTTTAACTCGTTCAAAGACTTTTTCTTTCTCACTTTCTTTTGGTGTTTCTTAAAGCCAAACTTAAGCAGGAAGAAAATGTTCTTAAGGGGTGACAGTGGGTGGGTTTTTCTGTGGGCTTTTGTTGGTTTTTCTGTGGGCCCTCTAATGGAATTGATCTCTTTGGCTGTTCAATTTTTTCATATTGTATTTTTAAAATTGTTGTACGGTGCCCTGTGAGCATCAAGTACCACCAGATGAATAAAACTTATTATATCTAAAATCTTAGACCAGTTTTTAATCTTAGTTGACTGTATCGTTATTGTACTACAGTGTTGTGGTTGTGCCATTTAAGTAACATTGAGCTCTTTGGGTTGTTTTCCAGACAAGGGAATTTAATACTGGTAAGTCAAAGAACTTTTTCTTTAAATAAGAAACTGAAAACAATAGATGCAGCCCTGTGGGTTTAATTGATTCTTTGGTTTCTAGTGCTTCCTAAGTTAAACAAACTGCAGCTATTAGAGTTTTTCAGTTTTGGCATTATTGACATTTTGAGTCAGGTAACCTTTTCATTGTGGGGGTGCTATTCAGGCAGATGCCAGTAGTACCCACCCTGGGTTGTGACAACTAAGAATGCCTTCAGATCATGCCTCATGTCCTTTGTGGGGCAAAACTTCCCTAGATTGAGAATCATTGAGACTATTGCTTAAACAGGATTCCTGTGATAAAATTAAAGCATGATGTAAAAAGCACTTTCATTTTGGGCAGCAGTTGCCTAGGAAGTGACTAGAAATACTATTTCACAAATACTAAAATACCTCCCTTGGGTTAAATGCCTAACCAGCGTTGGGGAAAGCAAGCCAAAGCATGTAAGGTGCTGACTGACCTCTGGTCCTCAGAGCAGATTTGATGGAGAATTTGGATTTGCAAGGCAGTCAAGGTTTATAGGCAGGAGAGTAAGTAAACTAGAGAGTATAGGTCAGCAACATTTCTAGTGTTCATGCTGGAAAAACTAAGTTAAAAATTCTAATACTTTATAATCTAAAAAGACTATGAAAGATATGCTTATATATCATGTTGGACACACTTTTTTTTTTAATGGCATAATACATTTTTGGGGAAGGAGATTTGTAATAAGTTAGTGAATGGGAAACTCTGAAGGAGTCTGAAGTCGAATACATTTTTCCTGGGAAGAAACTTGCAAATAGGAAAAAATGCTAATTGTTCCTTTAACTACACCCTAAACTTTAAAATTTCAAGTATTGAGAAAAGTTGGAAGAGTAGTACAATGAACACCTGTCTGTGTATCCTCCACCTAAATTCAGCAATTAAAATTTTGCTAAATTACTCCATTTTTTAAAGTGTATTTTTAGGAAAGTTGTGTAACTGTAGAGAAGTTTGGGAGTATAAAACAGAAGGGGGCTGATGAGCAAGAGAAAGCGGGTAGCAACAGAATGAGTGTCTTGTGAGGTGGAAAGGTAGAAGTCAGGACACATTTTCTTGGACAGGAAGAGAACATCTTTCCCTGAGTCCATAAGGAAGACAGTGTGGTGGTATGTAGGCATGAAAAATTTGCCCATGGCCTATCAAAATAGCAAAATACACTTTTACTGCTACTTCATAACCAATTAGAGCTAAATGAAAATGAAACATGCTAAATTCAAAAAATTAAAACGTGATGGAGTTTAACCACTGGCATCATGTATTACATATATAATCCGCAAGTGCTACTCTGCATGGTTGTGATCACCAAATATTACACATTTGGGAAGAAAATCACTTAGCACTCACAGGATCACCAAGGAAGAACTGTTCATGTGCCAAACATCTAGGGCATCACTATTCAAAAATGTGGGTTGAATATCAGCAGCATGGTGTCACTCGCTGGTCACCCCAGACCTAGAAAATGAGCGTCTACCTTTTAGTAAGATCCTCGGGTGATTTATACATACATTTACATTTGGGAAGTGATTGTCTAGGGCACCACTCCATTCCCAATGTGGTAAGGATATGGTTAATAAGAGAGCTGGAAATAGAGGTGTGGAAGTGGGCCTAATGACTCAAGACGAGGTAGAACACTCAGGTTACTGAAACCTAGGTGAGATTAGAAGAGAAGGAGCGAAAGGAGGATTTTTTTTTTTTTTGTATTTGTGTAAAATCAATTGCTTTTTCCAATAAAGCTATGCTATGGACTAAAAGCTTGTGTCCCCCAAAACTCATATGTTGGAACTAATCCCTAATGCAGTGGTATTAGGAAATGGAGTCTTTGGGAAGTGGTTAGGTCCTAGCCATGGAGCCCTTGTGAATGGGATTAGTGTCCTCATAAGAGCTATGAGAGCTGACGCTTTCTCTCTACTCTGCCTTGTCAGGAAAGGATGGCCAGGAAGCAGGCAGGCGCTCCCTCACCAGACACTGGATCTTGCTGGCACCTTGATCTTGGAGAAGGCTCCAAAACTGTGAGGAATAAATGTTTAAGCCGCCCAGTCTATGGTGTCTGTTATATTCTGCTATAGCAACCTGAACTAAGACAGGCTGGTTAGGTTCAATGCAGTTAATAAAAAAAAATAATAGGTGTGTATCCACATTGCTTCTCCTATGGACTGGTTGACACTGGTTGTAGAACTTTGTGCCGAAGAGATGGAGGTCGTTCTCTAGTGGCCAGTATGAGCTAGAGCAGAGCCATGTGGCTTATTAATAATCCTTTCCCCGGAGACAACCTGGTGGCTTGGTTTTTTGAATGTCCAACTCTTGATTTTAGCTCAGGTCATGATCTTGCAGTGTGTGGGTTTGAGCCCTGTGTTGGGCTCTGTGCTGACAGCATGGAGCCTGCTTGGGACTTCTCTCCCTCCCTCCTGCTTTCTCTGCCCCTCCCCCTGCTCACAATTTTTCTCTCTCTCAAAATAAATAAATAAGTAAATAATCAATCCTCTCTCTGCCTTTACCATGTCCCAAGGGAGGAAGAGAGCAAGGAGTCAACATAGTATAGGCTTACCAGTGGGCTCTGGAGTTCATCATATCCAAGTCTGTAAATCCAAGTCCTGGATTCATGCTTAGTGACTCTGTGACCTTGGGCAAGTTATTTGATCTCTGTCTGCTTCAGTTTCCTAATTTATAGAATAGGGATAATGGCACCTACTTCAATAATTGGTGGTCCTTGCAAAGATTAACTGAGATAATACCTCTAAGGTAAAATGCCTAAACATAGTGCTTAATAAATGCTGCTTATACAGTTTATATTGTTTTTATCATGATGAGGGAGGAGAGCTCTGTTGTGATTGCTGAAATTAGAGAGATTGGTAGGTAGCTTGAGAAGAAGTACTTTGGAAAAAACTCTTGAGGACATAAGAAATTCACCAAGGATATAAGAGTGCCTGATAGTATTGC